CATTTGTAAGATTGACATGTTTGATAATAATCATAATAATAATTATTTAGTAGTGTAATAAGTATTAAAACACTTTCATACTTTTGACACTACTATATTTTGATACGTTTACCGCTACTATATAACAAATAACATAAGTCTGAAGATGGCATTGACTCCGAAAATTTGCCTACACTCCTAACTTCCTGATTCATTTGTCCTTGTCTCTTCCAACCGGATATTATCCAACTATCAATAACTTGTTTGTACTAATCAAAAAATCTATTGTTACCTTACATTTGCACACTTACGAACATGTTCTACGATTGCACCCAATAGATATTTGCCACTATCGCATCATGATAAGGTTCATTTTCATTGTTAAAATCTTACTGGATTTCTTTTGTTAAGCTCATTAATGTTGAATATGAAGGCATAATTGTCATTTAATTTGGGCTATTAATCAAATTAAACTTATCAGTTTGGCCCGAACTATTTATTTTGCTACAAGTAATCATCTTCTATTCTGCTCACTTCATCAGACACTTTTCAATCATGATAACAAGAAAAATAAATCTAATCAAACTTCTACATACATACATGTTACATGGTAAGGTCTCCTCCTAGTCGTTAGAGTGGCCTGCATCACACACATCGCGTTGGCGGCGTAACATATGTCTCCACTGTACTCGGTTGGTAGCCAAAGCTTCTGTTGTGTCGTTGTCGATGTTTTCAACACCTGTAAACTTAGCAGCATCTTCGAGTACGCAGGACTTCCAGTTCTTACGGGGTCTGCCCCTTGACCTCTTTCCATAATTTGGCTTCCAGTTCAACAGAAACCTCGGTAGTCTAGAGTCTGGCATTCTAACTACATGTCCATACCAACGTAGCCTGGCAGCACTGATGAAAGTCTCAACTGACTTGATGCCAGCCCTCCTAAGAACTTCGTTGTTCGACACATGAAAGAACCATTTAATCCTAAGGATCCTTATCAAGGAGGTTTGATGGAAAACCTCGAAACGTTTCATCTGCTTTTTGGTGGTGTTCCAGACTTCAGCTCCATACAACAAGATGGTGAGGACAGCAGCCCTATAGATCCTGATCTTGGTTGGAGTCTTTATAGTTCTGCTATTCCAAATGTTCCAGAGCTGATGAAAGGCGCCATTAGCCTTCTGGATACGGACATCCAGGTCTCTGTTGATTGTCCCATCCCCACTGATAGTTGCACCCAGGTAGACAAAGTTGCTAACCTGCTCGACGGGTTCACCCTCAACCGACAGCTCAATACAATCATCCTTGATGAAAGGTCGCTGGGAGGCGCACTTTGCTTACAGCCATGCATTGGGTCTTCTTTGCATTTATTCTGAGCCCAGCGTAGGAGCTGTAATGAACTAATAGATCAGTTGACTCCTGTAGGCCTTCCCCTGAGTTGTCCATAATAGCCATGTCATCAGCATAATCGGTGTCCAGAATGACCTTTTCCTTGACCGTCTTCATCTCTTTCTGCAGCACTGCGCCTTGACTGATGATCTTGTTGGTCTCAGCCAGAAATGCAGAAAAGTTTGGGCAGAAATTAAAGACAGGAGGTGCTTGAATGTCACCCTGACCTGTGCCTGAGTTAACATCAAACCAGTCTGTCAGCTCCCCATTAACCCTCACGGCACTCATGGTACCCCCAAAAAATGACTGAAATATTCTGACATATTTTTCAGGCAGCCCATAGTGTCTCATACTGCACCAAATAAAGTCCCTTCTGATAGAATCGAACGCTGCCTTGAAATCCACAAAATTAATGTAAAGAGGAATGTTAAACTCAAGACAGTTATGAATAATAGTTCGGAGAGAATAAATCTGATCAATACATGAGCGGTTCTGTCTAAATCCGCACTGATTCTCCCTTAGGAGACACTCCATACCAGCATGTAACCGCTTAAGAAGAATCATCTGAAAAAGCTTAGATGCTGTAGACCTTAAGGTGATCCCTCTGTTGTTCCTGCAGACTGAAGTGTCTCCTTTCTTCCCAATAACAATGATCACACCCTTTAACCAATCTTCAGGAACAGTCTCTTCTTCCCACACTTTCTTGAATAGACACTCTAGTTGATCAACTAGAGCACTCGCACCATACTTCAGTTGCTCGTTAGTTATCCCGTCCACTCCTGGGCTTTTGTTGTTCTTAAGCTTTGTCAGAGAATAACTAATCTCGTCTCTGGTGGGTGGTCCATCCGAACAAGAGAGAGAGTTAAAGTGGGGTTGGGGTGGTACTGTATCAAGGTCGGCAAGGTCGACACTTGATAATGGAGGATTCAGAAGTTCAGTAAAGTGCTCCTTCCACCTATCCCTCTGCTGTTGGGGATCCGTGATCTTCCTACCGTCCTTGTCCCGGACACAAGATGCTTGAGGCTTCTTGTTCTTACCAGAGATCTTCTTGATCTTTGCCCATACCTCACGCTGCTGACCTTTGCTCGCTGCTTCCTCAAGATCAGTAGCTACTCTAACTGCCCAGTTATTGTCGTCTAGCTTGCTGCTTTTCTTGACTAACTTATTAAGTTTAGAATACTCTGACCTGTTCGCGTCTGAGTTTGGGTCTTTGCGCTTAAACTGTGCCCGCTGAATCAATAAATCCTTGGTCTTCCGTGACAGGTGTTGCTCCTTTGCCTTCCGGGGTCTTTTGCCTAGTACCTCCAGTGAGACATCAGTGACGGTCTGACTGAGATTACGCCACATATCCTCGAGGTCGACCTCACTATCCAGACTTGCAAATCGGTTTTGAAGAGCCACATTGTACTCTGTAACCGTAGTACTATCCCTCAGGCGCTCAATGGCAGGCACATTGGGCCTGTTGGCGTTGATCTTTGTCACTGACTGAAGTTTGATTTTCAGCAGTCCTAGAACCAGGTAATGATCGGAGCCGATGTCTGCCCCGCGATATACCCTAACATCATAAAGTGACTGACGAAACCTCTTTCCAATGCAGATATGATCTATCTGATTGACGGTGAGCCCGTTGGGGGACCGCCAAGTTCCCTTGTGAATGTTCTTGTGCTCGAAGAGAGTTCCCCCGATGATAAGCTGGTTCGTCGCACAGAAATCCACAAGTCTTGTCCCGTTGTCATTTGATGAGCTATGGAGTGATTCCCCACCGATGACCGCTTCACTTCCATATCTGCCTGATGTTACTTTTGCATTAAAATCGCCGAGCAGTAACTTGATATCGTGACGAGGTAGCCCATCAAATGTATCTGTGAGTGTCCTATAAAACTTATCTTTCTCACTCTCCTCTGCACCCTTAGTTGGAGCATAGGCCACAACAACAGAGATGTTGATTTGCTTACTATGCAGCCTAGCAGTTAAAACCCGCTCCGATGTGGGAGTGAACGATATCAGGGAGTTTCTGATTCGTTTTGAAAGACTGAGACTGACTCCCTGTCTCTTGATCCCGTCGACTCTACCGGAATGGATGAGTAGACTGCCATTGTCCAGTAGAGTGGTGCCAGATCCAGGCATGTGAGTCTCGGTGATCCCCAAAAGATCCAATCTGTACTGATCAATGTTTTTACTAAGTTGGTAGAGCTGTGTAGATGAGCTGACAAGAGATAGAACGTTCCATGTTCCAAAACGTAAAAACTGTTTGCAATAAACTTCTAATTAATCTTATTAATGTCGTATGTCACTTAAGGGGGCCGGGGGGGGGGGGGGGTCTTCATCAAAATTCTCTCGAAATTGACTTTATAGTTGTTTCTGGTAGAAGGGAGTGATATCTACCAGCTGCTTTTGGTTCCATGGAAAAATATTGTTCCTAGCCGAAATTATCGCCGGTCTAAGGTCAGCGCTTATGTGTAATTGTATTGCGCGAGCGATTTTCAATCGCAAATTCTGAAAATCGAGTCTAAAAATCTATCTTCTCCTACATTTTTTGAGCAATTACCCTGAAACTTTCAGGATATGTTCTAAGGACCATTTAGAAGAGATTGTTCAAGCCAAAATTTTGAGATAGGCCTTTAAAAAATTTTTATTCAATTTTGAAAATCTTGGACCTCGTTTTTTTACGATTTTTTCAGGTCCGAGATTTTCAAAAATTAATAAAAATTTTTAAAGGCCTATCTCAAAATTTTTGCTTGAACGATCTCTTCTAAATGGTCCTTAGAACATATCCTGAAAGTTTCAGGGTGATTGCTCATAAAATGTAGGAGAAGATAGATTTTTAGACTCGATTTTCAGAATTTGCGATTGAAAATTGCTCGCGCAATACAATTACACATAAGCGCTGACCTTAGACCGGCGATTATTTCGGCTAGGAACAATATTTTTCCATGGAACCAAAAGCAGCTGGTAGATATCACTCCCTTCTACCAGAAACAACTATAAAGTCAATTTCGAGAGAATTTTGATGAAGACCCCCCCCCCCCGGCCCCCTTGACAGCATTCTATTTACATTCATTCAATGATATTCGTTGTACTTATCTTTCTTTATTCACAAGATAAGAAGGACCCAAATCAAATCCCTCGACTATGTATAGTAATATTTGAGAAAGGTTAGTTTAAAGAAAATTCTTACATTCAATCAAATCAAGTGTTGCGATTGGCAGAGCATAATACGGTTCAAATGGTCCATTGTTACCAATATTTTTGTAATATCAATGATACTCAATTTTCTAAACACATGTTCTACATCATGCATCATCGAAAGTTTCCAGAAATTACACTTCCCAATCGATATCACATGAAATTGCAATAGACTGAGCACAGATTAATAGTACCAATGTGCTTAGATTCACCCTCAAATTAAGGACTGTATTCATTTAAAACGTTGGTGATTTTTCCATCACATCTACATTAATATCGCCTGATCTGTAGATTAAAAAACAGTCTTCCCACAGAGTAACTAACCCATTAGCAACTTTTGTCAATGCATCCATAGTTCTATCTGCATCAGTCAGATGATGAACAGAATATGTGGCCAAAATTCATAGAAATAAAGGAATAAGATAGTTACATTAATATGTACAACATTTCAATTAATTCCTCTCAGAGCTAGCTGCAAATGGAAAGTTGATAGAGATGGCTGAGCAGTCACTCGAAACCTTTGCCGATGCCAACAACATTTTAAGTACTGGGGACTCCTATTTTCAGTTTGATGCAGAGGAGCATCAGCGAATCATTCAAAATCAGCCATGGAAGGAAGACCCTCACTATTTTAAGTCCACAAAGATATCAGCCCTTGCTCTCTTGAAGATGGTAATGCATGCTCAATCAGGTGGGAATATTGAAATTATGGGTTTAATGGTTGGGAAAATTGATGGACATTCAATTATTGTTATGGACTCGTTTGCTCTTCCTGTTGAAGGTACAGAGACTCGAGTTAATGCTAACTTGGCTGCATACGAGTACATGGTGAACTTCCAAAGCAATGCTAAGTTAGTTGGCAGGGAGGAGAATGTTGTTGGTTGGTATCACTCACATCCTGGATATGGGTGTTGGTTATCTGGCATTGATGTCACAACTCAAATGAACAATCAACAATATCAGGACCCTTTCATTGCTATTGTCGTTGATCCCATCAGGACTATTACATCAGGTAAAGTTGACTTAGGAGCTTTCCGCACCTACCCTGAAAATTTTGAGTTTTCAGAAGGCGGCCCAAGTCGTTATCAGTCCATTCCTCTTCACAAGATTGAAGATTTTGGTGTTCACTGTAAGCAGTATTATTCATTAGAAGTAAGCTATTTCCGGTCGTCATATGATGACAAGCTCCTCAACACTCTGTGGAAACAATATAGAATTAACACACTATCATCAAATTCTCAGTCCACAAATCAGTCATACGTTTCAAACCAGATCCAGGACTTATCCTGTAAGCTTAGCAAGTTGCAGGAGCATCAGACACATCGTGAAGAATGCAGTAAGATAGCAAAAGATGGCACTAAAACTGCTATTGAAGCTCTTGGTGGAATTATGTCGGGTATGTTCAAGGACAAGGTGTTCAATGTAAAGTCTTAAATTTTCAGTCTGGTTCAAATCTAGGTTTCTTGGTTAAGTTTTATGGGTAAGTTTTAATTTCTGGGTCTACTCGGTTGTGCTTCAAATATTGCTGGTTTCTTGGTTGATCAATATTCAATTTGGGTAAAAATTAATTTTCTGGGACTCTTTGTTGGGAATTTGATGATATGGAAATCAAAACTTGGCTCTTGTTATAAATTGATAAAGCTTGTTGTGAAATTCGAAAAATTATTGTGATTTGTAAATATATAATCGTCTTTATCTATTCAATTATTTTCTAAATGCATTATTTACTTTGTCATCTTTTCTTCTCTTGCAGTAAACCAGTTGTAAATTCGTGATTTAAAATGATGCTTTTATTTAACCATTAAAATAGCTTTGGTTAGTTTGATAATTCATGAACAATCAAGACATGATCGATAAATTACTGCCACATCGAAATAAAATAAAAAAAGATGTCTACTATCTAGTGTGCACTTAATTTATGGCAATTATTTTCATATTTATACATTTAATCTGCCACTTTCATTTACCTTGTAACCTTCAGCAATTTATCACTTATAACTATACTCCATTTAGCAAGTGACCACCTCATAGCTACTGATTAACACGACTAAAGAAACATTTTTGGAATAACAGAGATAATCATGGCTTGTTAATTTTGTTCCGCAATGTTGATTTCAAATAGTGTATGGTTCAATTCCTCTTTGCTACAAAGCAATGAACGACAAGTTACAACTTGCTGCCAAAATGAGTCAGCCAGCGGCCAATGGCCACCATGGAGATCGAGATAACACTTCAAGCCATCCACGTGGAGGTAAAAACAGTCAAAAAGGGAACAGAGGGAAGCAAGCAGGAAATAGAAACAGAGAGAAAGGAAATACTGTCGATCCAATGGAAGGTGATGACGGAACTGCAAGGCAACCTAAAGGACACAGGAACACAAAGAAAGGTCGGCTGATGAATGATCTAGTAAATTTCCAGTATTACAGACCTGCTCCTGCAGAATTCAACCATCAGAAGACACGCAAGGCCACTGCAGAGTATCAGAAAGAGGATTACGTCCATGTTTCCTGCCAATTTGTGGTCGGTGATGGTGATTGGAATGCTCTGACTAAAATAGACAGCGTTGTAAACTGGAGTGATGTTATTCAGGTCCGTCTGCCCTGTGAAGAATTGGCTTCTTGTCCTATCTGCTTGTTTCCTCCCGTGTGCCCCCTATCTCCGGTGTGTGGACATGTCATGTGTTATTCCTGTGCTCTTAGGTTCTCTGACAACTGTCCTGGAGGAGATTGCCCTATCTGTCACAAACCTCTTATCGTCTCTGACTTCAGACCCTTGAAAACGTACCCAAGAGTAAGCTATAAGGTTGGAGATGAAATTGTTATGAAGCTTGTGTTCAGGGATCGTGACGGGAGGATAGTGTGTCCTGCAGCTGATGATGATGATGTTGAGGCTAACTCCACTACGGATATTCCTGATATTTCAAATGATTGGGGTGTGAAGTTTAGCAATGTTGTCACTGCATCCCCTTCTCAAGTCTTACAGCAAGTTCTGATGACTCAAGAAGAAGAGTTGAAGTCACAGCTTGTCATGTTGGAAGACAATGATAAAGAGTGCGAACCATTCATTATCAGAGCCCTTGAAGAACTGCTGGATAAAAAAGATAAATGCTTTCAGGAAATGGAGTCTTCACTGAAAATAAGATCAAAACCAAGCTCAGAAGAAATTTGTGAGTCTTCTTGCAAGAAAGTTCACTTTTATCAATGTGCTGATGGTCAGCCCATCTTCATTCACCCATTAAACTCTAGGTGTTTGATACATGAGTATGGAAGTATTGAGGGTTCTATCCCGGAGTTAACCTGTACTATTGTTGCAATGGAGCATTACACGCAGTCTCCAGAACTGCGCTCCAGGTATCGCTACTTCTCACACCTTCCGCTGGGCTGTCCATTCATTCTGTGCGAGGTTGATGTTACACCATTCATTGGGGAGGAAACTTACCAACATTTCAAAACCGATATCGATCGCAGATCTAAGGCTAGACGAGTTAAGGAACAGAAAGAAAATGCATACACCTCAAGGCTCAGCAAGAAACTAGCTGAAAAAGAGGTAACATATCATTGCAGCGCTTATCTTCCCAGATACACTGAGGTTTCAAAACCTGCTGTGGAGCATTTTAAGACTGCTGAAAGCTATGATATGCTGGGAGGGTCTCCTTCTAGTCCTCCAACTGATGCCCCTTTGTCTTTTGCTGAAAAGCTCCGTGCAGGGGCATCTAAGTCTTCTCCATGGATGAAGTCAGTGTCCCCTGACTCTGATCGTTTGAGGATCAACTCAACTTCAAGTGATATCAGTATGGACGGTGAATCTGTTGCTCCCTCGTTCCAACACTCATTCAGAGCTTCTCTCAATGATGCTTTTGCTTCTCTAGATGTTGCTGAACCTGCTCCTTCTGTGCCTGGTCCAGCAGCTCGGGGAAAGAAGAAAAAGAAAAACAAGGGTAGAACAATTTCCCTTACTGGTGGTGCTAGAAAGTGCTGAAAATGTTTAGTGTGAAAGATTTAAGCCCACTACAAGTATAAGAAACTGAGACATTTTGTAGCCTGGTAAATAGAAAATCGTATAACAAAGATAAAAGAAGCTGTACAGTTGTTTAAATTGATAATTTCGTTTTAAAGCTGGCTGTTGTTTTACGATGAATGGCATTGATGATTTCAGATTGAAATGTATTATTGATCTTGAAAATTATTTTTTAAACTGAAGTTTACATGCTTCATTGTATGTACATACTATGGTAATATATTTCGTTAAAATTCTCACATTATTGCTGATTCAAACTAAAAAAGTCGGTATTTTAATCATGCCATTAATCTGAAACACAGTCAGATATATATTTTGATTCTATGATTTAAGATAATTTTCATGTGTACTCTTTACACATTACAAACTGAATAATTTCTATTCTGATTAAAAGATCTTGAAACAGACGTTTACTGATATTACAGGGCAGGGATTGGGGATAGGAAATTCCGATTAGCACTCAACAATTTGTCTAAATTCCCCAATGTTACATTCTAATTCGCTTACAATAAGTGAACTAACCTGCTAAGATAATCGATATTTAATAAATATAATGCCTGGCGTTTAGAAACGCTCTCATAGTTTAATATATACTTATTGCTTAATGTATACATGGTTTAATGTGTAAATTAGTTCTAGAAGTAAATCCTATTATTTCATGATGCACTAGATTTCCTCACAAAATGGTCCATACAATATTGTTAAAGATAAACGAGTTTGTCTGGTAGTTTTATTTGTTGCTGTAGTTACCGTTTGGAAGGATTGTGTAATGAAAAGGGGTAAAAGTGGGTAGTGATTATACTATAAACTGCTTGAGATATCATTGTTATAATACAAAATTGTAATTCTCGCGTTTTTCTCGTTTTATCTCTGAATTTACATACTGTCCTATATATTGTTATATGACATCTGATCGTGCTTCTCAATTTCTACATTTGATTCATTGTTGTTACATTTTACTAATCATTATATTTACCAAAAATCTAACAGTTTCACCTCTTGCTAGGTTCTGATCATGAGTGAAGAGTGGGGAAACGAGCCAGAAGGTGCAGCAAGCGAAACTTGGGGTGATGTCCCCCTTGATGGAGCTCCTGATTGGGGTGACAACGTTGCCGACGAGGCTGAAGCCGAGATCGCTGACATCTTCGTGTTCGGAAAATGGAACCCAGCTGATGTCCAGATCAAGGATATCTCCCTGACTGACTACGTGGGAATCAAGGACAAGTACGCCGTGTACCTGCCCCACACTGCTGGACGTTACGCCAAGAAGAGGTTCAGGAAAGCACAGTGCCCTATTGTTGAGAGAATCATCTGCTCCATGATGATGCACGGTAGGAACAACGGTAAGAAACTTCTGTCCATGAGGATCCTAAAACACGCCTTCGAGATCATCAACCTGATGACCAACGAGAACCCCCTCCAGATCCTAGTCGATGCTATCATCAACTCCGGACCCAGAGAAGACTCTACCAGAATCGGAAGAGCCGGTACAGTCAGACGACAGGCTGTTGATGTGTCCCCAATGAGGCGAGTTAACCAAGCCATCTGGCTTTTGTGTACTGGTGCCAGAGAGGCCGCCTTCAGAAACGTTAAGACCATTGCCGAATGTCTGGCTGATGAGCTTGTTAATGCCGCTAAGGGATCATCGAACTCATATGCTATTAAGAAGAAGGACGAATTAGAAAGAGTTGCCAAATCTAACCGTTAAATAATTTAAGTTATTTTTTATTTATCAGAAGTGTTCGTTTTCTTTGTTATGTGTTCGAAAAATACCTTACGCCCGAAAGAATTTAGCCACTAAATTTCCACCATCTCACTGTTGAAACCAAAATTTTAGTATACAAATCTTTCGGTCGTAAGGTATAAATAAAAATTAGAAAATCAATGTAAACTGAAAATGAAAATCATAGAAAATCATTCAACGAAAAATTATCAAAAATTTCTCACCTCGACACTAGAGCCAGACTAAATCGTCAGTGTTAACTGTTGGGTAACTGTTAAAGTATTGTTAAATATTTGATTAACCAATAATTCAGGTTTAATAGCCCACATCTTCTCAGTATAGCGATCATGTGACTCTGGAATCTCTGGAATGCAAGTACCACCTCAACCCTCCCTTCCCTCAACCTCCCTCCCCTCCACCTCCCTTCCCTCCACCTCCACCCCTGCTCCTCCCAACCCTGACAACCTAAAGGACAAAATCCTCACAACCCTCGGTGGTGATGATCCTGTTATCATGGCCTTCTCCAACCTCTCTCTAGACGACATTAAATCCAACGTTGACAAGCTGATCCGGGATGCTGTCCATGACAAATCTCCCGAGATCCGGAAACATGCCCTGCAGCAGATCAACATGACACTCCAGGAAGTGAACGTGAACCCGGCGAGAGTTAAGATGTTGTTAGGGATCCTCTCTAGAGCTGTGCAGGATGGTGTGTTGAGCGGGAGAGAGGTGTGTGAGTGTCTTAAGGAGCTCCTTAACACTGATATTGAGAGTCTTTCCATGGAGCTTCTTAACTTCTTTGACGTTCTGATAGGGTGCACTGACCACAAGATATGTCAGGAAATCTTCACAAACTGCCTCCAGGAAACCTCAAAACTTCCATCTGTTCTCACTGGAAGTCACCACAGGATCTCCAACAAGATAAACGCCATGCTGATGAAGCTGCTTGATCGTGATAACCTGGTAATGCCACCTATCTGCTCCTACTGTGATATCATGATTGCGTTCAACAAACCCAATGTGTTCCCTCACTGGAGTGTCTCTGAGCTTCTCAACGATTACGTCTCCACCTTCAACTGTCTCACTGATCTTATGACTATAGAAAACACAGAACATTTCCGACCCGTCATTAGACACAGTTTCCACACTCCAACAGGGTGGAAACTCGACCAAACCCTCCTCAGCTTCCACACTGTAAACCCCTCCTACTTCATCCTACAGTTCTCAGGTCCCTACTCCAAACCTCAGACCGACCTGATGTTGTACACTCTGAAACAAGTCTCGTGTAGGGACTTTGTGGTGAACACCATGCTGCAGTTGAGACAGGGAAAGGGTACGATATGTCCCGTGTTGGAGACGGTTTTCATGAAATTGTTGAAGCAGACCGCTGCAGCTTCAGAGAAGGATCATGATTTGAATAAGATGAAGGTGTGGGAACGTTTTGGTGGTGAGCTTTCCTCGCTGATATTCTGTAGTTCCATTCATATTAAGGATATAACTGAGGCTCTACTGAAGGAACTCAAGGAACCTGCAACCTTTTCATCCCTCCAGCAACACCGTGATTTTCTCATGTGGATACTTCACCGGTGCTTCAGCTTTTGCCTAAAAATAGTTCGCATTCCCAAGAAAGATTTCCTGTTTATCGGTGACATCATCAAGCTCTTGTACCCAGAACTAGCACCTCTACCAGTCCCAGATCGTAACTCCCCACTCTGTGTGGTCTACTTGTCTGCAGCTAGTTTGTGGGCTGTGTTTGGAACCCGCTCTGTTGACAACCCCGGTCTCCAGGACTCACCTCCACTTGCTCTCATCGAGCAGCTCAACTTCCTCCACATGCCCCAGCTCAATCAACATCAGTTCTCCACATCAGACTATTCAGTGTGTGTCAGTTTAAACCATATCAACAACTTTGTCCCGTCCTTCTCCAACACCTCTGAAGCGTACTCCCGGCCCCTGAGATTCCTCATGGAGAGCGTATACATGGCCCAACAAACTACAGTACTCCCTGGCAACGTGCAGGTTGTAGCTGCCCTGACTCCCATACCACTAGACATCCTGGACATGCTGACCGCTCATGCTAAACTCAACTTCATCGTCACCATCACCAACCACATCACCAAGATGGCAGATCCACACGATCAGATGACTCAGTCCTCCACCGCCTACCTAGCTCCAGCACTCCTGGAGACCTTCTCCAGGTTACTCTGCTACACAGAGATTGATTCTAACAGCCTCAAAATGATGATGACTCTGATCCACCAGGTGTCCAATTACCATGCCTTTGGTATCCTCTGCAGTCTGATGGAAATGTTCATACACAGGATGCAGTTTGTAAAGCAGACCAACCACCGGATGACCATGCTAACACACTTCCAAACCTTGTACGTTCTGTTCACACAGCGTGCAGGGAACCATCCCCAGATGCTCTACATGTTAGAATCCTTCACCATGCGTCTCCTCCCTCTCCTCAACTACCAAGACCACACTCGTATCAGTTCCTCTCCTTCAGGTATAAAGATCCTCTCCACCAGTGTGGAGGAGCTTAACAAACTGTTCATCCTCTCTGCTGCACGTAACGCTGTTGTGTCCGGTAACAAAGCAGCGACTAACAGCTGGTTGAAACCCTTTATGGAGTACATGATACAGTGTACACCCGCAGTACGAGAGTGGAGTCCCTACACTCTCACCTACTTCCCCCAATCTTTCAAGGGTTATGTTGGCTCTGAGGTGCCGGTTGTGTATCCTGCTAAAAACCTGGCAATGATGGTGACGGAGGAGATTACTAGGACCATGCAGGCAGGGGCGAAGCATGATTTCGTTAAGTATTACAAGGAGTCGGATCACAATGAGATATTTCTTTGTATTTTGTTGAGGAAAGTTATTGATAGTGACACGTTGCCGAACTATGCACTTAAAGTAACCCAGAACTGGACTCCTGCTGCTCTCAAAAACCAGATACGAAACATGATAGATTTCATCGTGTTGGAAGTGAAGAACAACAAGGGGACCTCTCAGAACATTTTCAACAAGATTGCCAACGCTGTGAATGACTTTGTCTTCAGACATCACATGATGCCGTTTGACACTCTGATCTTTATCTTGGCTCTTCGCAAGTACAGTGACCAAGATGCCAACATCTCCCTCTACCTCATCCACAATCTCCTTGTTGGGAAGACTCAGTTCAGTGCCCGCTGTGCTGACTTTGTTCAGCATGCTTCTCCAGATTACTGGCGTTCCATCGATTGGAGTCACGTGCACAGTGCATACCACAACAAATTCCCCGAACACCAGTACTGGATGAAGAAGGATAACTTCGCAGAGCGTGGCTCCGGATCCTTTATTCTGCCCACTTATTACAGTAATCTCTGTCTCAGGTTCTTGCCCATCTTGGATGTTGTCATCCACAGGTTGATCGAGCTGCCGCCCAAAAATTGCCGAAAATGGTTGGTAGAAATCCTGCGTGTGTACTCCAGACTATTTGCATACCATGATTCTCCCATCACATTTCTGCATGATACTCTCTTCTACTATGATGTCATGCTGGCTACAGAGTTTGATTTCGAAAAACGGGTCCTTGTTCGGTCATATCTGGAGCATCTGACCTGTAAACCAATGGAGTTCCTGTCACCCCAGTTTATTAAATATCTGAATGCTGGGGAAAATGATCCCCAAAACTGGTCGCCTTCCCCTGGCTATTTCTTAGAACTTGTAAATAACATGAACGATGTTGTTAAGTCCAGTGATGGGCCAGAATTCTCCCATATTGACTGGAGGTTCAACGAGTTTGGTAACCCAGTCTGCATGATGCTTTACCTTGTTTCTATCGAGCTAATGTGTATCCCACTTCCTGCCACCAAGATGTCAGCTGAGTATTTGGCGGAACACCGGATTAACATAGGTAGTAAACTAGTGGATATAGTCCTGAATAACAATACGGGCCACCTACCTGAACTGTGTAACACACTCGGTATTTTGCTGTCTGCGCTGCCTGTTTCCTTCTCCAAGGCAGTTTATAGGAAAATAGTTGAGATTCTTCGGGATGGTTCCAATTTCTATGAAGTTGAGGGTAATATAGGTGGGGTTTTGTGGAACAATAAAGCGCAAAACGTCTTGATCCTCGTCCATTCGTTCTTCCAGCACTGTAAAACGGACAAAATAGGCTTCCTCCCCGAATTTATCACCCAAAACTTGAACTTGTTCACGACAGAATCCCACGTGGTGTACATATTGAAACTGGTATCACCCTTTCTCTGCCACCTCTTCAGGAGTCCCTCTGTAAGAAACCAAACTCTTTGTTCCTTGTATCAGGTCATGATAAACTTGTTGAGCGACAACACAGTTACCAATCCTGACCTGTTTGTTGACTACATGTATTATATCAAGTACATTTACGCTGGTGCCGAGTTTAAACCGTTGATTGAGAAACATTTACCCACTTTACCGGCCGATATTTCATCGAAACTAAAGTTTTTGGTGATCGGCACTGATTCCACGTCGTAATTATATTAATATTTGTTAATAAATGTATATTTTATGATTGAATTATGTTGAAATTTCAGATGTATTGACCTGATACTGATAGGTGTCTTATTGCAGTCCATCGCTTTGCCCCACTGGTCACACTTTTCTCGCAAAATTTGAAAATTGCGCGCTGACAATTTCCTTTATGTTATAGCAAACGCACTACATTACGCAAAATGTAATATTTTCTTTGCGCACGTACGTACTATATCTGATTTTGTAGAATTAAGGGGCTCATCGTAACCTTACATACACGGTGTCATTTGATTTGATCTATCATCCATTTTTAACATAATATGTACCAATCCTCTATAGTTTTGCTTGCATCATGTGTAGAATGGTGTGAAATAAATGGAGAATGGATCCGAACCGGTTTGGTTACAGGCAATCACATCCGCTGGAAACGATGCCGTGTCTGAATTAGAACGAGAGAATGCTCATTTTGAGGTAGGACTATCAACATGTTGAACTAGTTTTCTTTCCTCAAACTGTGGAGAAGTAGAGAGTACTAGTATTTCTAAACTTAATAAGTCCACTGTACGAATTAGGAATTTAGATAACTTCCATGGCATGCGATCGTTCACGTATTACGTAAATCAGATTTTAGCCACTTCAGGTCCCCATTTCGTCTTCACTTTTGCAAGTATCCCTAGTGTAGAAATTAAACTAGCGTTGGTATTTCTAAACCCCGTCCACACTCTGGTTGCTTACGTAACATGTGAACGATCTACATTTTGTGATACTCTTACATTGCACGTGAGATATAACACTCAAACGTATCAAGACTGTTGAGACTTAGATGAAGATAATGTAACTACCATAGGTAACTGAAGCGATATTACGTGCCCTAGAACAGCTATGTTCCATGGACGACACAGACAGCGACGAGGAAGACTTACCGTCCGACAATATCCGAGACTACGCTAACTCTCTCACAGCTCCTGAACTGAGTATGACCCCCAACAGCTCTCCTATATCTCCTGCTATTGTGAGGAAGAGCATCTCTAAACCTAACAGGTAAAGTTAGGGTAACCATGGTAACTATAATATGTTATCAAATGGTTCTTATCTTGGAACTAACTAAATAGGTGCATGTGCCGGAATGTCTACAGGGCATCGCGTGTTTCTTAATGTTTCCTAAACAAATGCGGTTTCTGGCCAGTGGCTAACTTAGTAATTTGCTGATGGCTCTCCAGTGTTAACAGGAACACATGGGTCCGGCTTGTCGAACCGTCCCAACGGTAAATTCTGGGACCATAGTATTTTGATAGCAGCTTTCTCTGAAACATCATTCTTACCCTGTCCCTATGTATTGGTGCATTTGGGAGTCCTATTTTAGCGCATTTTCGTCGTGCATCACTTAGCGCTTTCGTTTGGCTGCTTATGATTTCACCATAGCATCGTATCCCTGAAAACACGTCTTAATCTTCTTAGTCCACTAATTCATCCCTCAAATACAACCCTCCTGCCAGAAACAGCACAGAGCTATCAGACTGGGTGAGCGTTGTAGACACGGACACGCCCTCTATCCCCACCTCTCTGAGTGACAACTCTATCACAACCGTTCTGGAGAAGTTTGCGGAGAACCAGTCTAGCGATCAAAACAGTCCCCGTGCTATCGCTAAGCAGCTCTTTGATAAGATTAACTTTTCTTCCGAGGTTAGCTTGGGTTTTTTATTCAAATCAGGGTTATTTAGTGAATTAGTGCCCCCAACCTATCTACTCTTTATCTAATCTGTTCTCTATCGTTTTGGGTGACTTCTAATCCGTACTACATTATAATAAGTGCACATTTTACCAGCTAACAACTCAGGAGAGTGCTGAGTTGGACTGGCTAGTAACTGAAGGAGGGCGGCGACACACCCCCACTATATCCCGTACAGTGTCCGACTTGTCTCTCCCGACCCGACTGAGAGGGACCTCAGACTGGGCGCCTCCCCGTGCTCAGATTATCTACCACATTCACCTTCCAGCTACTAGGAAGGTAATGTGATCTGAAGTAGTATTAAAGTGTTGTAGGCAGTTCTAATGTGGTGTGAAGTGGCGGTTCTTGCAGCAGTTGCAACTAGATTGTGTTTAATGTTCATTTCGTTACCCTCAAATTTACAAACTGTAAGCCCTTCTAATGTAAATTAAGTTTTATTCTTCACAGTCAATACTATCCCGGTGCGGGTACAGATGTGCGGGTTGTGGGATGAAGATAGACCACACTATGGCCAGTTGGTTCAGATACTGTGCCTACCTCGGTGAGTGGTAGTGAAGGGGTTAATTAACCTGATTAAGTTACTAAACGGTGCTAATATTATGGAAAATCAGTGTAATTCGAATCATCAGACAATTTTCTCATTATCGTAGAATAGTGCATACTTAACTCAAGAATAGTGGGTAATGTATGTTACGTGACCGTTGGATTGTTCTAGGAAAGTATTTCTGTCACTCCTGCCACCACGAGAAGACAGCCCACATTCCTGCTAGAATACTTCACAAATGGGACTTCAGGAAGCAGAGGGTCAGTAACTTCGCGTCAGATCTCCTCGAGAAGATGTTTTCAGAGCCTTTGTGAGTTTTATTTGGAGTGAGGGAGGGTACTGCTTTATAGTATACGACCAGAGTTGTTGTCAACACAGCCACTGCTGGCGGTTCCAATGACTTATTTATTAAGGGGGAAAATATATCATAATGTATAGCATTTAAATCGTATAACATAATGAAATAACATATTAGATATCGATATCAAACTAGAGGATTGTATCGCAACGAACCGAGTAGCGAGAATGGGTAAGGTACCTTGCGGAGGTATTTCAGAGGTATTCCTTCATCGACATCTCTTTTTAAAGCCTCATATTTTGAGGGGGGGGGGGGGGGGGGGGGGGGTACCAACCTAGTTATCGGACAGGATCATGATTCCGATCAAGATATAGGAGCTCTAATTCTCTATCTCTCCTAGGTATTGCATCCAGGATATAAACTACAACCTCTACAAAACTGTCAATGAGATGAAGTATGCACGAGCTCTCAGATACCAACTGTTCTTCCTGAACGAGTACATTAGGTGAGGGGTACCCCCTGTTTAATAAACACAGTGATTATTAAACTTGAGGTATAAACAGTGTTTATATTACCATGTTTAATAAACACAGTGATTATTAAACTTGAGGTATAAACAGTGTTTATATTACCATGTTTAATAAACACAGTGATTATTAAACTTGAGGTATAAACATTAAACAGTGTTTATGTTATCATGTTGCGAACTAACTTGATATTCAATGTCTTTAGTCTGCGTATCTTCAAGAATGAGGATCTTATTACTTGTGGATTCACAGTTTAGACCGTTTAGCTTATATTTTTTACTTGAAACTTATCAAATTGAAATCAGGAATTTAGCGTTATCGTACCTTCTCTTTTCAGAAATTGTAGAAACGGTAAAGATTTGTTGGATAATATGTCAATCCGTTCACATATTATTAATGAGCCTCAACTCTTCTCATTGCAGGTGACCTTTTTATGATAAAACTGGAACTCTACTTGTGTACTGACTTGTTTGCTGTCTTGATTTGACAAACCACTGGTTAAGCGAGTCCTCGACTTGCAAGAAATTCTTCCAACAATAAATAAACTGACAAATCAATTGCAATGGTTGATTAATTATTTTAACAGTAACTAAATTGATACTCAGGATTTGTGTGCAGTAAAGGACAGGACCCTGATAGAGATGATGAGAGTTCTGGTAACTAGCTGGTTACAGCACGTTGATAATTGTGGGCTCTGCAAAGGAAAAGGTTTTATCTGCGAACTCTGCGCTAGGGTGAGTCACGTGACTTCCTTATATATGGTATTGTGAAATTGCTGTATTTGCAGTTATGATTATAAGTTACTTAGAAACGCTATTAAAAACATAGGATTTACTTGGCAATCAGCAACTAAATGCCACGACGTGGTAGTGTAGCACATAGATCCAACAACCTCATGAATAAAAGGTATAAGATGAGCTACCAGACCATTTGAGAGGGATTATTCCACCTTCTTCAGGATGAGATCATCTACCCGTTCCAACTGGAATCTGTTGTTCAGTGTCAGATGTGCTGGACGTGTTTCCACAAGGCTTGTTATTCTGGCACTTGTCCAAAATGTGCCAGGATCAGATCACGTCGCACTGTAAGTATATTGCTAGGATCAGATCGCACTGTGGGTATATTAACGTGGTTTAAACAAGGACCCTTTTTTGTTTTGGGGCTTTCACAATTCACATATTTAATATTCTGTGAACATATACGTTAGGAAATTGCATTATTTTACCATGCGTCTTATTGTGCAGATGTCTGATCCAGATGGAAACCGAAACAAAGAGGCCGAGGTGAAAAACGAAAATGAACGAAAGAAAACATAAAAGTTATACACAGTAGCCAGTAGGTTATCTGGGTATAATATCTAACAGGGCTACTAACAAGACTTGGTGATGTTTTTTAGTGACATAACGCCACCTCTGGGAGAGTGTCATGTTATTCTCCTTACCAAAGATAACTTTTCTTGCTTTACACACACAAACGGTATATCCCCTTCTACCATTGAACAGTATTTTTAGCCTCAGATCTTTTCATAAACGGACCCCATAGTTCATCCAACATTTTCAGCTCACACTTTTTACCTTTGATCACTTAACACCTGTAGGGGGTGATGCAACGTCAATTAATGTCAGTATTCCATAAAAACCCCAAACTGACATTGACATTAATTGACATTAATTGACATTAATTGACATTAATTGACATTAATTTGTCTTGAAATTTGAGATTATCATTATTCGATAAATATTCAAGATATTCACGTCTATGTAAGTTAGACCGGTTCAAAAAAACAAAATGTCCTTGAATAATTATGAGTATGTTCTTATCTGTTGATCCTTAGGTTCAAAGACCACCAAAAAAATTTCAGCTTCCAACTTTTCCATCTTCGGTCCCCACCGGCCACGCCCATATTTTATTGGTTTCTTATACAGGTAAAATATCTAGAATCGGCTTTTTTAGTATGAAGGAGTTATGTTAGCTGTTTAAGATTCGTTATTCAAATATAAATGTCATGAAGGTATTTCGTTTAATGTGGGTTTTAAGTTCTGATCATGTTGAGAACCACGCCCTTGGATGGCCACGCCCATTTAAGAAAATTAAATTTCGGAAAACCGTATTATTTTAGTTTTATTGTTTAATGATCTGAATTTTTTTCACATTTCACATTTCCATATGTGATAGTAGTGAATAAATTGATGATATAAACGTTCTAAAGTGCTAAAAATATCGTGTCAATTAATGTCAGTATTCCAAAATTTTGCAAAACTGACATTGACATTAATTGACATTAATTGACGTTGCATCACCCCCCACCTGTATTCACGGTACTTCTACGTATTCAGTTAACTTTGATTTATTATCTTGTACATATTATAATCATATTGTTCTGGTGTACATTCTCATCTCAGTTAAAAATTGATTTCTGTACGCGGTTTATTTTTCAGCACAACATTTCTTTATTTCCCAGTGTTGTCAAATTGAGCAGTTTTTGCATAAGAAGCGGCACTAATTAAAGTCATCAGATCACCAATAGATCCGGCCATGGTGTCATTTTCACTTCTTGGCACTTTATTTTGATTGTTAAGCTAATTCAAAATTCAATCGCTCGTCGCACGGTATTATATCTATTCCTATTATTATACCTCAATTATTTGCTGAATTTTAACCGGTATTTTGTGCCCCAACTGTCGCGTATAACTAAGGTCTGTTTTGTATTTTTGTTTTTGATCGTGAATTTTTGCTGATTTTTGTGTTTTTAATTTCATGTTAATAAATAATGAATTTAATTTTAGAATTCTGATCTATTGAATTGTATATTGAAGTCGTGTTTCATTTCTACTGACCGCAGAATTTATTAATGTTTTTTTGAAATGATATTCTCTTTTTTACGTTAGAACCTAACATCTGAGTTTTGGATGTTTTCTGCTAATTTTCATTTACATTATATCCCATTATTAGCAATGCAGATATTTGTAAAGACCCTAACGGGTAAAACTATAACCCTCGAGGTTGAACCTTCAGACTCGATAGAGAATGTCAAAGCCAAGATCCAGGATAAGGAAGGTTTGGATATGATTAACGAATCCTAGTTAACTATAGTTTATAGTTTGTACTATAAAACCCTCAGATCTTGTTCATACGATGACAAAACTTTCATTTGAATTCGAGTATTTGTATTATTTCGATCACGAATAACCACGAAATTATCTAATTAATCAATTAATTACGTCCCTCAGGAATCCCCCCAGATCAACAGCGTCTGATCTTCGCTGGTAAGCAGCTGGAAGACGGCAGAACTCTGAGCGACTACAACATCCAGAAGGAAAGCACTCTCCATCTTGTTCTCAGACTTAGAGGAGGTCAGACTTTAAGTTATGAATAATTAGCCTGGCTGTTTGACATTCATCCGATATTCTTTCGATTTTTGACAAACAAAAATATTGGATATATTGAGAAAGATATGTCTAGCAACTTATATACTGGTTATTGTCAGTGCTTGCTGTCTGGGCTTAAAATTTCATTTTGTGTACAAGGGCATTATTGTAAAGCTATATTGTAATACCGGGTTCCTATTAACGCACATACGAATACCTCTGATCGGTAGTGGCACTATCGTGGTTCACTTTGGTTCTACTGGCTTAGTTACACGTCAAAAAGTGTCCCGTTAAGGACTAATCGAGTTATGTCCCTTCCTACTTTTTCAATATCCAACTGTTTTAGCTACGATATTTATCGCCCGTTTATCTATTTAATGTAACTTATGTATGTTCTCTGTTCTACCGTTTTCTGTAGTGTTACCCTTTTTACGAACTTGTAGTTTCGTCGAAATTGTCCGTTACCCTGGCCTCAGTAACAAGTACGTTATTCTAGTAACAAGTACCTTACCCTAGTAACAAGTACGTTACCCCCAGTAACAAGTACGTTACCCCCAGGAATCATCGAGCCCAGCATGAGAGCGCTCGCCTCCAAATACAACTGCGAGAAGATGATCTGTCGTAAGTGTTACGCGCGACTCCACCCTCGTGCCACCAACTGCCGCAAACGAAAGTGTGGTCACAACTCTGACTTGAGGGTCAAAAAGAAGCTGAAATAGACTCTGGGTCGATGTTTTAGGACGTTTCGTCAAGAAGAAGCTGAAATAGACTCTAGGTCCATGTTTTAGGACGTTTCGTTTTGAATTTTCCTGTAATTTCAATGTACAGTTCTCTGTTTATTTGAAAGTTTCGTTCATTGATCTCTGAGTTTGCGTCATATCAGTCAAATATTTAGTTAAATGGAAAATAACTAGCGGTAGCAATTACTTAAATTTGTTTACGTTAGGTTCGAATTTCAACAATTTTTCAAGATGTTGCTTTCAGTTTAATGATCATTTCCATTTTCACAGGTTATATAAAACTCTTTGAGCTGCCAATGCAGGATTATTACCGATTACGGAGATTTGATAAGACAACTTAAACAAGTTTAACTAGATTATAGTCCAGGTTTCTCCAGTATTACTGGAACTAATCCTGGACTGTAGAAAGTTAAAACTGTACAAATAATGTGTACAAAATATAAAAATACAAAACATAAAAATAAGACATTTAAATATACCAAGTATAATATATTTATGGGATTTTTATTGTTACTCGTAAAAGAACTTAGAATAAGCACAAATTAATTTTAAAACTTAAATTAAAAAGTCTTTCTCTTCTGTAGCTAGCCCACAAAGTCAAAATGCCCGGAAACAATAACGCCGAGCGTACCTACATCATGATCAAGCCTGACGGAGTTCAGCGCGGACTCGTTGGAGACATCATCTCCAGGTAATATTACGTCATGTCAACTGATGACGTCATGCAACATTTTTATGGTGGCCATATTTTCTAAATTAAACAAAAATACTTCTACATATTATAATTAAAATGTGTTTTAACCATCTCTTGTCCACTGTCTTCTCTAAACCCCACTACACTCGCTGTACCTGCAGGTTTGAGAAGAGAGGCTACAAGCTGATCGCACTGAAGATGAGAAGCGCCGACGAGGAGTTGTTGAGGAGACATTACTGTGACCTCACCGAGAAGAAGTTCTTCCCTTCTCTCCTGGCCTTCATGACTAGCGGGCCTGTTTGCAGTATGGTCTGGGAGGGACTCGACGCCGTCAAGCAGGGTGAGAATTAACTGATGAATATTTTTAACGATATCTGTGTAAAGGTAGTGGGTGGTCATGTTTACAGATAATCATGTATTTGATAAACGCCCTGATATAGGGTAAACCAGAAACACGCACAGTCGCTCGCATATCATTACATAAGTCAAGTTAGCAAAGTCGCAAAGAAACCAAATTTTGAGTGTAAGAGATCGTGTACAGTGTGTCGTGCGCGGCACAGGTCCATCGCACGCTTACATATTTCTTTTACCACTTCTGTCAGATTTGCTCGCAAAATTACGAATTAAGACCGATTTTTCACCCTTGGTACCAAGAGATGAGTTCAGGGCTACCTTACATCTACACTGAGGTCAGGACAGTTTTTTCGCTGCTATTTTAACAGAAAAACTGGCGTGACGCGTCATGCCTTACCACCTAAAGGTAGTGCTGGCAGCAGTTGGTCCTGCACCACATGTTGAACAGTTGAACACTAGGGGTGGGTAGCCGGACCGGGTTATGGTAAGGGGAGGGGGTATACTGTAGATTGTATAAGACATGTTACATGTTAATTACTTACCGGAGATGCAAAAAGGAGGTTGCTCAGCATCTAGCTCCAGCATCCCGTCGTTACAAGTAGTCTGCTGAGTTCCTCTGATAACAAACCCTGGACTACACTTCAGAGTAACTTCTGTTCTGTGTTGTTGGGGTAGTAGGGGTTCAGGAACTAGGTTATTATCCCACTCTAGTGGCAGCGTCATGCAGTCACCTGAAATATTGTGAATTGTTTATCTCAATGTTTTTTATATTGTTATCCCGGTAAAATCAATAAAACTCCGCCAATTTAGTAACAAAATATTAGTCCTTGTGATTTAACAGTGATTGATGAATAGTAACCATCCTACAATATCGTTCCGACCTTTACAGCTAGGCTGAACATTGTACTGGAAGTTCTGTTCAGATTCACAAGTCACGTGGTTATCTCCTGTGAGAGTGTAACCAGGTGTACAGGACACTGTTATCACCTTTCCTTTGAGCACTGGGAAGTCTGGAGTGCTGGCCATTTTGGTCCAAGTTGGGGGTAGTTCACTGCATTCTGTAATAAGGATAGTTTATATTAGGGTTCAATTGTCATGTACGCGATATTGAACATCCACTAGGCCAAAATCTCCCAATGCATTGCCTTGTTTTAAAACTTGATAAAAAGTTTGATTCCTTACTGTTGATGATTTTTCGTATTTTCAGATCATGATTATATTGATCTCCTGGACTCACGAACGTAACCTCTCTTGAATGCTGTTTCCACGTGTTTTGGCATTCTGGGTACATGTTCTCGTTAGCGCTCGCGAAGTTGAAGTTAAGGACAGTCACATCGTTGCACTCCAATAGCAAGTCGGTCTCAGTTAGGGTGAATCGCCAATCTTTAGTCTGGTCACTAGGAACTTCGGTCAAAGTCTGGATGGTTGTCATATAATCATTTCTACTGCATTTGGTTATGATATAGCGCCAGTTGCCTGAGCCCTCTAACTTCATTGCAAAAGCCTCATTGAAATCAAACACGAATTTTATCTCTTTGTCGGTCTGATCTGCGGTAGTCTTCAGTTCCAAGGTGTCACCGGGTGTTCTCAGACTATAACTATAACGATCGTAAACCGGAACCTTGAACCACACTGGAAACAGAGAAAGCTTAAAAGAGGATGAAATTTATTGGTCAGTCAATGTTCAAACTTAGACTAACTATAGGTGTTAACTCAATTGGTCAATCTTATGCTCCTAATATCTTATGACAAATATTTTTTAACGTATATAATATTATATCTCAGGAAATATGATAAACGATACCTGTCGATAAGCTAACTAATGGTTTTCCTATAATTCCATGACACAGTGTTGATGCTTCAAAAAGAAAGATGAATAGCGTTAAACTGTTCCACATTTTATAACATCCACGCTAAAACGATAAATAGCTAAATACATTTATTAATTCGGTAGACCGTAACTTTGACCATACCTATTATTGTTGCGGCTAGCGGCTTTTTACAAAATGTTAACTCTATATTTTCAAAACGGACAAAAAGTAGGGCGGACAAAAACGGACAAAAAATGTTATGGAAATAACATTTAGATGCTTCCTCATCCTCAGCCCTCCACATCCTCCTCCTCTTCTTCAGTTCTCCTCCTCCTCCTCCTCACTCCTCCTCCTCCTCCTCCTTCCTCCTCAATCCTCCTCCTCCACCTCCTTAGTCCTCCTCCTCCTCCTCCTCCTCCTCCTCCTCCTCCTCCTCCTCCTCCTCCTCAATCCTCCTCCTCCTCCACCTCTTTCTCCTCCTCCTTCTCCTCCTACTCCTGCTCCTCCTACTCATCCTCATCTTCATCCTCAGTACTCCTCCTCCTCAGTCCTCCTCTAAAAGTAATACAATTTATTCGCATTGGGAGTTTAAATCGACATATAAATTATATGGACACTGGGAAACTCTAAAACTGTAAAATATTTATTGTAAAAAATCGTTCTTACTCCGCAGTTGAAATCGAAATACGCGAATTTTCGGCGACAAATACGTTTACGTATGCATACGTTTGCTTGAAATGCTACGTATTTAAAAGCATCGAGATATAACCATATATGCGAGGACCAGAGACATAATTTCCACACCCAGGGCCAGGCAGCTGTGTAATGTGTATCAACGGTTTGACGAACACCGAATTAGATTAGTTCTATAATATCACAAGAATTTTTTAAACTAAGGCGAGCGATTTAGTGGGAGCGCTCTCCAGCAGCAGAGTTGTCCGAGACATTAGGCCGCGTTAGACCAAAAATCAATTTTTAGGAATTTCACTCGAGGGAAAACGTGCACGGTGAATCTAGATTTCCAGAGAGCGGGAGTTAAACCAAACGTCAGGCACAACTTTAAGAGAACTCTGGCCAGGTATGTGTCCGGACATTGGGAAAGGGGCAAATCTTAATATGCTAAACTAATGGTGAACACCCATTAAAATAGGATAAACTATGCTCATCTACACGGGACTCCTTGTCTAAACGTTGACCGTTTAGAACTGATCTACTATGCCAACTTGAAGATTTCTCCAAAAGTGGTAAGTTTTGGGATCGGTCGTCATTGGGAGAGCAGAGGGACAAATTATTATCCTATTTTAATGGTAAGCGCCCATTAAAATAGGATAATGGGACTCCTTGTCTAAAGGAGCTGCTTTACTAACAACTAAGCAACTTGGTACCTTGAATTATTGAAGTGGTGGAATTGCCGGCCCAGTCTGCTAGACGCAGCTTACTGTACTAAACCCTTGACATAGAAGATAATTCTGTCCTTAAAGAGTTCTGGTGATCCCGGAGAATTGCAGGTCACTATAAGTATCAACCTTAATAATACCAAGAAATCTGTGTGTGTGTGTGTGTGTGTGTGTGTGTGTGTGTGTGTGTGTGTGTGTGTGTGTGTGTGTGTATGTTTGAAATTTCCGAACGGTTATACAAAAAAAACGGTAAGAGTTACGGGACTGGTTTTTTCGGTATAGTGCCGACAAAACTCTGACGAAGCCAATAAGCAAATTTTATAAAAATCGGCCGGTGGTAAGTGGTTTAATTGATGGTTTTGTACCACAAAATATGTTACGTAAAATGGCTTGAGAAGAACGGCAAGAGTTACGGGGCTAGCTCTCTCTCTCTGCATAATATTATGTAGCGTATATATTACATGGCGTATATATTACATGGTCATGTAATACTATAAACTTATTAGGGGAGGGAGTGCTCAAACGGTCTGTTTGGACTGTAGAGAGAGTTCATACTTTCATACGACAATGTAATGCATGTTCACAAATATGATGGGCTGGTGTGGTGCATGGTATTAAGGGTTAATTTCTATTGATTATTGATTAAGAATTACTATCTTTTAAGCATACTATTGGATACGTGAGGGCACTCCGAATAGAATTGCTCGCCTAATCCGGGTTTTGACTCAGCGGGTAATTACTCCTACCCTTTTTAACTGCGGCAGTGAAATCCCGGCCGAAGGCCGGGTTACACTAGTAAGTTTATAAAATGAAGAGACCACAGTCCAAACGGTATCTATCTAACTATAATACAGTTATGAGGGTTACTTTGATTGTTGATTGGGACTGGCCAAAAAGTACTAGCCAATGTTATAATTACAATAATACCTTGGCTTCTTCGGGCCGCAAATTCCCTCCAGCAAGCTGTCGGGAATTATCACGAGCGGCCCGAAGAAACCAAGGTATTATTGTATTACTAAGCTAGTGTAACCCGGCCTTCGGCCGGGATTTCACTGCCGCAGTTGAGTCAAAACCTGGATTAGGCGAGCAATTCTATTTGGAGTGCCCTCAATAGTATCCTTAAAAAATATTTTCTTAAACAATAATCAATAGAAATTAACCCTTATTAACCCCGCACCACACCCGCATATTTGAAAACATGCATTACATTGTCGTATGAAAGTATGAACTCTCTCTACAGTCCAAACAGACCACTATGAGCAGACCACTCCTCAGTCCTCGTATGTACGATACCTTCTCAGTCCTCCTCCTCAGTCCTCTTCCTCAGTCCTCGTATGTACGATACCTTCTCAGTCCTCCTCTTCCTCCTCTGTCCTCTTCAGTCCTCCTCCTCCTCTTCCTCAGTCCTCCTCATCTTTCTCCTCAGTCCTCTTCAGTCCTCCTTCTCCTCCTCCTCAGTCCTCCCCATCTTTCTCCTCAGTCCTCTTCAGTCCTCCCCCCCCATCCTCCTCCTCAGTCCTCCCCATCTTTCTCCTCAGTCCTCTTCAGTCCTCCCCATCCTCCTCCCAGTGCTCGTATGTACGATACCTTCTCAGTTCTCGCATTACATTTAAATTTGTTTGACATCGTAAACATTTTAATGACTCGACCTTGTAAGTTTAAAAAGGTCCTATAGTGCAGTAATTAGAAGACATTGCTTGGTTACTTTGGAATTTTGACTTTTTATTCAAATTCAATTTCCATATCTAGTACATACTATAGCACATATAGCAGATGCT